TAAAAAATAAAATAAAAAGTTCTATAAATCAAATTCTAAAAAGTGTTCAGGTAACCCACAAGAATAACAGGAAAATGATACAGAGGAACAAAAAACAAAAATAAAACAGGGGAACAGCAGAAAACATATAGTAAAGTGGTAGACTTAAGCCCTAATGTATGAATAATTACTGTAAATATAATGATCTAAGTATATCAGTTAAATGACAGAGACAAGTCTGCATGAAACTCACTCAAATAAATGATGTAAATATATTGCAAGTAAAAGGATAGAAATATATATATACACACACACCATGCAAACATTAACCAGAATAAAGCAGGAGTAATTATATTAATATCAGATAAAATAGACTTCACGTCAAAGAAAGTTACTGGGGACAAAGATTACATAAACATTACATAATAATGAAAGGTTTAATCTGCCAAGAAGACATAGCAATCCTAACTATGTATACACCAAACAACAGAGCTTCAAAATACATGAAGCAAAACCTGAAGTAAGAATTGAAAGAAGAGGGGCGCCTGGGTGGCTCAGTCGGTTAAGCGTCCGACTTCAGCTCAGGTCATGATCTCACACTCCGTGAGTTCGAGCCCCGCGTTGGGCTCTGGGCTGATGGCTCAGAGCCTGGAGCCCGCTTCCGATTCTGTGTCTCCCTCTCTCTCTGACCCTCCCCCGTTCATGCTCTGTCTCAAAAATAAATAAACATTAAAAAAAATTAAAAAAAAAAAAAGAATTGAAAGAAGAAATAGGCAAATCCACAATTAGTCTGCTGAAGTGCAGACTTCAACACCTCTGTCTCCAAAGGTGGTGGAACAACTAGACAGAAAATCAGGAAGGATGTGGAAGAACTTAACAGTATCGTCAACCAAAAAGATCTAATTGAAATCTATAGGACACTCCATACAACAACAGTAGAATACACATTCTTTTCAATCAAGCCTATGGAACATTCACCAAGACAGACCATATCCTGGCATATAAAATAAAACTTGACAAATTTAAAAGTTGAAATCAGACAGCATATTCTCTAACCACACTGGAAGAAATCCAGGAATTAATAACAGATAACCAGAAAATCTCCAAACACTTGGAAATTAAATAACACATTCCCAAATAACCTCTGGGTCAAAAAGAAAGTCTCAATAGAAAAAAAAATATTTTTTAACAAATTGAACTGTAAAAGCACCTGCCTCATGGTTGGGGTATGAGAATTCAGCAGGGAGATAAGACAGGCAGCCTTGGTGCCACACAAGGTAGGGGCTGCAGAATGGGGACACCTGCTCTCCATGATCGTGGTGCTGCTTATCACCATTCTCGTCCTGAAGCTTCCTCTCCTGACATCTCTGCCTTGTCTTTCTACTTTCTAGCCTTATCCTTTGCAGTCTTTTCTTCCTTTCGCTTCTGTCTTAAGTGGCCTAACAATATGCCCTTCTGAACCTGGGTGGCTCAGTTGGTTAAGCATCTGACTTATCTCAGGTCATGATCTCATGGTTCATGAGTTTGAACCCAGCATCCCGCTGTCTGCTGTCAGCGTGGAGCCTGCTTCAGATCCTCTGTCCCCCTCTCTGTCTGCCCCTCCCTCCCCTGCTGGTTCTCCCTCTTTCTCTCTCTCTCTCAAAAATAAACTTAAATATATATATATATATATATATATATATATATATATATATATATACCCTGCTGGCCTCTGCTTTTCTCCTTCTTTGTTCATGTACTTAATAGCCCAAGCCCTCACAAAAGCTTTAGAACCGCCTCCAGGATAGTGACTCCCAGAACGTCCTCTACAGCCTGACTTCTTACTTGTAACTTGTAAGGCCTTGGAAATGCCTTCTGAGGCCAAAGCAGGGGGGTATTGTCACTTGATATTCTCAAGTTGGATTCTACTTTTTTTCCCTTACTGGGGGCAGCCGCCACCATGACCACTACACTTAGTCCCTGCTCCCACTTTGTTTTGCTAGAGTAAAAGTCGATAGAAACCGTCTTAGGGAACACTTGCAGTCACAGGAGAGGGCGGCATTCCTTCTCTTTTTTAAACTTCAGGCTCTTTGCTGGACTCTGAACACTTGCTGCCTGCTGGAGCCACTATTTCACAGTTCAAGTTTCCTCTTCACAGCTCCATTGGAAGTTCCCAGAAAGCTGGCTTGGTGTCTGGTGCTTTTTCATGCTCTCTGCAGCCACGGGAGCTGGCCTTGCACAGCAGAAGGATGGAAGTACACATAGAAAGGGTTGGAACACAAATAAGTCACTGTGAGAGCTATCAGTTGTTTTCTCTTCAGCTAGAAAGAGTTTGCTATTGCAATTGTAGCAATCTTTGTGACTTTATAGGTAGGTGTTTTAAATACTGGATTTTTCTGACAATGCCTACTCAAAGAGAAGGAAGAGAATTTTATAATTTCCATTTTCTCACTTCTGATTGCTTGTTCTCTTTCCACAGCACTCATGCCTAGATTGGCCCAGAAAACATGTAGAAACTGAAGTCTAAAGATAGTAGAGTAATATTCCACAGTGTGACAGTAATATTTTAAATGATACATCCCTAACCTTGGACTTTAAAAAAGTAGTGGCAAATGATGCAACCCATTAGGACAATCTGAGATTGAATGGCTCTTTTCTTTTTTTTTTTTTTTTTTTAATTTTTTTTTTCAATGTTTATTTATTTTTGGGACAGAGAGAGACAGAGCATGAACGGGGGAGTGGCAGAGAGAGAGGGAGACACAGAATCGGAAACAGGCTCCAGGCTCTGAGCCATCAGCCCAGAGCCCGATGCGGGGCTCGAACTCACGGACCGCGAGATCGTGACCTGGCTGAAGTCGGACGCTTAACCGACTGCGCCACCCAGGCGCCCCTGAATGGCTCTTTTCAAGCAGACAGATGGAGAAGAAATGGAGCAGAATTTGGCTATATACTGGAGAGCAGACATGACTTGTACAGCAGTTGAGAGGGAGGGTTGCAGTCCGCCATAGCTCATGCTAGGAGTATAAGGCCTGTCTGTGCCCTCAGAGGTGCATATTATTTCCATTTTAGGAAATGGCAGTCCTAGCCAGGGAAGCCATGGGGCTGGGGTTAGAGGTTTGCAGGGCTTGGGCACCAGGTTGAACAGAGTTTCAACTCTCAGGGAGCTGCATGCCTCTAACACTTGGGGGGGATGTAAGGGAGGGGGTGTCATGCCTGTGACTGCGTGATCCCCAACATGGCTGTATCTGGTTGGTGTACTTCAGTCTGGCTGCGCATCAGAAACCCTAGGGTCTGTTGTGGCCCAGCATCTTTCCAGGGGAGCCTTCCCTCTCCTTCCCACTCCACCCCAGCCCAGGGGACACATGAGTCCAGCCTGGCCAGGCACAGTGCAAACTGCCCAGCCATATGATTAGTTAGTTCATCTAGGGCAGGGGACCCAGCGTGAGCCAAGGAGAGTCAGGCCAAAATCTGATTGAAACCTCTAGGGAAGAGAAATGCCTGCATTCCCCAGGCCTGGGAGTTGGGGGGGGGGGGGCGGGCCTAGAACTCCTGGGGGCTGTGTGGTCAGCACCTTCTGCACAATGGGTCCATGAGGAGGAAAGCAGGCAGGCAGCAAGAGATGCAGGACTTTTTAATTAGTTCTGTGCACAAGTACGTTCCCTCTAATCTGAGCCAGTTTTATGGTGACAATGGCCTGATACTCACAGATAGACAACGTTCTGAGCAGCAAAGCTGTGAACTCATGTGTAGGCCCTGCAGAGGGAGAGGAGAATCATAAAGCAGCAGATCTAGGGTGGACCTGGGCATCTATATTTTTTTTTTCAACGTTTATTTATTTTTGTGACAGAGAGAGACAGAGCATGAACGGGGAAGGGGCAGAGAGAGAGGGAGACACAGAATCGGAAACAGGATCCAGGCTCTGAGCCATCAGCCCAGAGCCCGACGCGGGGCTCGAACTCACGGACCGTGAGATCGTGACCTGGTTGAAGTCGGACGCTTAACCGACTGCGCCACCCAGGCGCCCCTGGGCATCTATATTTTTAAAAGGCTCCTGGGTGATCTCAACTCAGTTGTCTTCTGTGTGGTGTCTCCACCCCACTACCACCCCATCATAGAGAATACTAAAATAGAAAACCTACAGTTAAACATGTCCTAACCCCCTTGCTGTGTTTCATTCTGCTGGCCTTTAGGATTTCATTATGTACTCTGAAAGAAAAAAAATCTTTCCACTCCCGACAGCCTGAGGTGGACAAAAGGTACAATTAACTTAGATACAAGAAACCTAAAACTAAGCAATTAACCTTCTCCTGACTGTTTGTCCCTCCCTACACACATATACACGTATCTGAGAGGAGCCTGGCTATAGCTCTGGTTAGCTGTCTCCATGACTTGCTGGAGTCGAGTGACCTTTCACATTCCTGCCTCCCCTCTCTCTCCATTAATTTAAATCCTCCCCTTACTCTAGGTCTCCCCAAAATTTATATTTTTGCAACAAGACTATCTTTGATTACTCCAGCCTAACTGTGACTAGGGACACTCTCTCCCTCCTGAGAATTCTCATGACACTAACTCTTGTCTTTATAGTTCACCTAGCACATTTCATATGCTGTCTTGGACTGTAGCTTTTTTATTCCCAATATTTTATATTGTCTCCCCATTGAGATTCTAAAGTCTTTCAGGGCAAGAGCCCTCAGATTGTTTTATCTCCTTTTTCTAAAGGTGCATCTTTTCACATCGAACAATGACTGTGAGCTTACAAGTATTCGATTGGGAGTTTTGTATTTTGTATTCTATTTATGACCCATAGGTGGCACTCATGGAGTACCAGATAGCAAGCAATGATGTGTGGGACATCTGTGTGACACAACAAGCTACAAGTCTTTTTCTTCCAGCGTTGACTCAGATTAAAATGTCATCAAACACTCAGTTGGCCTGGTACATTCCATGGTCCTCTGATATTTGCTGTCACCCAGTTAATTAAACCATCCATAGATATTCTCTTACAGAGGCATTTACCAGAATTTTCATGTTCTTTCTTGTAGGACCGTGTGACTTTTAGAAGAATCATAGTGAAAAACAATGCAAAAAAGAGAAGGATGTTTGAATCATTTATTGAATCTGTGCCCCTCCTTAAATCACTAGAGGTAAAGTGTATGAATAAGAGTCTGTTTATGGAAAGTTAAGATTTAAAACTAATCTATTAAGCTTTCAAATTGTACTATTCTAACCCATTTCTGTGTTGTATAGATATTATTTGTGACTTTCAGTTGAGGTCTTTTCCTTAGAGTTTGTGGGTATGTCCATTGTTTCAGGTGTCAGAACGAATGAAAATTGTGGATGTAATAGGAGAGAAGGTCTATAAGGACGGAGAGCGCATAATCACACAGGTGAGTGGGGCCCTGTGCAGCTCCTTTCCTGAGAGAGTCAACCCTCCTGAAGGACTAGTGCAACCCTTGTCCTCTCACTTTGGGAGCTCATGTTGCCAGCTACTAGGGCACACTTCCTGCAGAGTCCTATGAAGCCCGTTGATGTTCCTCTCACAGACATATGCACATCTCTTGCCTCCATTCACCTTTCTGTGGCTTCTGGTGTTTGTTCTTTTGGACATAGTTCTCTTTTGACCCTGAGTAAACTTCATCCATTGGTGTTAAAGTCTGGAGAAAGTTGAAGGTTTGTGCCCTTTACCTTCTATGTTTGACACAAAGGTGCCCTCTTAGCCAATCCAACACAAGCCAGCCTTCAGTCCTCAGTAATTGATCAGATTTGTAAGTTGTCTTTAATGTTTCCTTTGTGCCTTTCTCTCTTGTGACTTTTGGATGCTGTGAGGATCATCACACAGTGACCTGGATCATTGTGATGAATACTGTGTAATAATTTTCCTTGTCTGCTATGATGATGTTTTTAATGATGTGTAAAGACTTCTCCAGGTGTAAACTTCTGCCTGTGGTTTGGTAAGAGCACTGGGAAGATACCTGGTTGGCCTGGGTTGGATAGTGTTCCCCATTATGAAGCCAGAGCTGGGGCTAGGAGGAGGAAAGACAGATTGGTGAAGCCTAAATCCTGAGCCCACCCCTGTACCAGGCTTATTAATCACAGCAGGTGAGAGAGAAACTCCCAGAGAAAAAGGACTAACAAAAAAACTATATGGCCTTTTGAAATGCCTTTGTTTTTTAGGACTCCTGCTGTTAATAATTCCTTCAATTAGAAATTAGTTTGATTCTCTAAACACTTATTACAATATACAAGTAGGACCAGATATAAACACTATAATGAAGGAATGTGTAAATGACAGTGAGAATGTAGGAAAGGAAGTATTCTGTAATGTTTTGTAGGGGAAATGCCATTTGGGCTGGGCTTAAAGAATAAGTGCAGCTTCAGCAGTTGAGGTCAGGGAAAGGTCTTTCAGGGCAAGAGAACAATATGAACAAGGCCTGTGGGTGTGAGCTGTGTTCCAGGACAGGTGTCCTGGTATGGTAAGAATGTAGCACTGAGTTGCAGGAATGGGACCTGTTGACTAGTCACATTTGCTTCTGAACCTGAGATGCTTTAATTTACTCCCAAAGGGCCTTCATGTCATCCTGAAAGCCCCAGGCCTTCAGGAGGTATGTCAGCAGGTTTTTAGAAGGTATGTCAAGAGGTATGAGAAGCTACAGTGTTTTCTGGAGTGTCTGTGCTCTTGAAGATGAGAGTGCTAGATGGTGCCGAATGGGCACAAATTAAGATGACCTCAGCTTATTATAGACCCCTTTTGACAGTGTCCCTAGACGGGTTTCCAGGTGAGGTCCCAAGAACAGCAGCATCAGTGTCATCTGGGAACTTGATAGGAATCATTAGAAATGAAGTTCTTGGGCCCCACCCCAGACCTACTGAATTAGAAACTGTGCTTTATGTTGTTCTGTTTGTTTTGGCAGCTTTGTTACAGTGTATTTTATATACAATAAAATCACCAAATTTAAGTGTACAATTCTAGAGTTTTGTAGCCATCCCTGCAATCATAGTACAGGGCATTTCCATCACCCCAAGAAGTTTCCTCACTTGTATTTGTAGTCAATCCCCTGCTCCACCCCCTTATTCCTGGAAGCTATTGATTTGCTTTTCAACACTACAGAAGTTCCTTTTCTGGAATTTCATATAAATGCAATCATAATGTGGTCTTTTGTGTCTGATTTCTCAACGTTTATTTATTTTTGGGACAGAGAGAGACAGAGCATGAACGGGGGAGGGGCAGAGAGAGAGGGAGACACAGAATCGGAAACAGGCTCCAGGCTCTGAGCCATCAGCCCAGAGCCCGACACGGGGCTCGAACTCACGGACCGTGAGATCGTGACCTGGCTGAAGTCACACGCTTAACCGACTGCGCCACCCAGGCGCCCCTTGTGTCTGATTTCTTAGCACAATGTTTTTGAGATTTTTTTTCATGTTGTATGTGTCAGCAGATAGTTTATTTTTATTGCTAAGTAGTATTCCACTGTACGGATATACCATAATTTATCTTTCCATTCACCAGTTGAGGGAATTGGAGGTCTTTCCAGTTTGGGGCAATCATGAATAGAGCTGCAGTGGGCACTTTTATACAAGTCTTTGTGTGGATATATGTTTTTATGGAATTGCTAAGCCATATGGTAAAAGCATATTTAACAACCTGCCAAACCGTTTTTAAAATGCCTCTACCACTTTGCACCCTCCTAGCACTGTACCAGAATTCCAGTTGCTATGCATCCTCATCAACATTTAGTATCAACAGTCTTTTTACTTTTAGCCATTCTAGTGGGTATGAAGTGGTGTCTCATTTTGGTTTTAATTTGCATTTGCCGCATCTTTTCCTGTGACTGCTTGCCATCCTTATGTTTTCTTTGGTGAAGTTTTTGTAAATCTTTTGCCCTGTTTACAGTTAGGTGATTTGGCTTCTTATTATTAAGTCGTAAGAGTTCTTTATGTGTTCTAAGTACAAATCGTTTATCAGACAGATGATTGGCAAATATTTCTTCCAAGCTGTGGCAGTGCCTTGTCTCTTAATTTTCTTAATGGCAGTTTTTAAAAAGCAAAAGTTTTTAATTTTGAAGAGTCTAGTTTGTAGTTTTTTTTTTTTTCTCTTGCAATTCATTCTTCTTGTGTCCTATTTTAAAAGAATCTTTGCAAGGTCAATATAATTTTCTCATAATGTTTACCTTTAGGCCACCATTCAATAAATATCATGTGAGACAGATGTAATTTAAAATTTTTTTAGCATCCAAGTTTTTTTCAAAAGGTGAACTTAATTTTAATAATATGACATATTTAACTTAATATCTTTAAATAATACCATTTCAGCATCTAAGTGATATAAAAATTTAATGATGAAATATTTTATATTCTTTTTTTTCTCAGTCTTCAAAATTCAATGTATATTTTGTACTTACAGCACACCTAAATCTATAGAAGCCATATTTCAAGTGCTCCATAGCCACATGCTACTATGTTGAGCAGAATGGTTATAGATATCTCCTAGTTTTAACTCCTACATTTAGATCTGTGATCCATTTTGAGTTAATTTTTATACTGTTGTAAGGTTTTTACAAGGTTTTGCATGTTTTGCATGTGGATGTCCAATTGTTCCAGTACCATTTGTTGGAAAGATTATCCTATCTTGTTGCCTTGACACTTGTACTGAAAACTATTTGGCCGTATATTTTTAGGTCTATTTCTGGTCTCTGTTCCATTGATCTACATGTCTGCCTCTGTGCCAATACTGCACTGTCTTGATTATAAAAACTTTTTATACTAAGTCTTAAAATCAGATAGTTTAAGCCCTCCAAAATTTTTGTTCTTTTTCATAATTATTTTGGCTCCTCAATGCTCTTTGCATTTCTGTACATATTTTAGAACCAGCTTAATAGGGGCGCCTGGGTGGCGCAGTCGGTTAAGCGCCCGACTTCAGCCAGGTCACGATCTCACAGTCCGTGAGTTCGAGCCCCACGTCAGGCTCTGTGCTGATGGCTCAGAGCCTGGAGCCTGTTTCCGATTCTGTGTCTCCCTCTCTCTCTGCCCCTCCCCCGTTCATGCTCTGTCTCTCTCTGTCCCAAAAATAAATAAACGTTGAAGAACCAGCTTAATACTTTCTACCAATGGGATTTTTCAGAGGGGATTATGTTGAAACTATAGATCAATTTGGGGAGAAATTGACATTGTAACAATAGTGAGTGTTTTGTGTCAGTCTCAGGCCATCAGTAGTGATGCTGTCAGCTAGGAATGCCTGGGGCACTCACCTCGTCCTGTACCACTTCTCAAAAGTCCCCACAGACATTTCTCCAGAGCCAGTGTTGTGTCTGGACTGGCCCTTGTGGTTCTTGTTATGACTGCAAGGCTTAGCAACAACCATGAAGGAACTTCGAAAAAACAAAGTTTATTACTCACAGATCCTGGAGGGTATATGGCACACCCAGGGCCACACAGTGAGGTCACAGGGTGGGGGTGGGGGACCTGGAATTCTGTCTTTATTGGGGATGAGGGTGGGCTGCCCAGGGTTTGGCAGGTTCACTCTTTATTGGCAAATTTAAAATATAAGAGCAGGAATTAGGGTTGTGGGAAGAGAAAAGTGGGGTCCCTCAAGTGGTCAGTTTTCTGCATTTCTCAGGGCTTTCTAAAAGAGAAACTTCATGGGGCACCTGGATGGTTCAGTCAGTTAAGCGTCCAACTGTTTATTTCAGCACAGGTCATGATCTCATGGTTTGTGAGTTCAAGCCCTGCATCAGGTTCTGTGCTGACAGCACAGAGCCTGCTTGGGATTCTCTCTGCCCCTCCCCCGCTCACGCGCCCGCGCTCGCGCAGGCACGCGCTCTCTCTCTCTCTCTCTCTCAAAATAAATAAATAAACATTTAAAATAAAAGGGAGACTTCATAGGTGGGGCAGCCTGGCTCTTTATTTAGTGTGGCTGGCAATATGTTTAGTCAAGGTAGGTGTCTTTGAAATGGTTGCCTCAATAATCAAAAGCTTGGTGTCAGTCACTTACATTCTAATCAAAAAAGCTTACTGTCAGTGGTTCATGAACTTAGTATATCTCTATGTAGGTCATTTTTTTTTTTAATGTCTATTTTTGAAAGAGAGCAAGTACAAGGGAGTGGCAGAGAGAGAGGGAGACAGAGGATCCACTGTGAGCTCTGTGCTGACAGCAGAGAGCCCAGTGTGGGGCTTGAATCCATGAACTATAAGATTATAACCTAGCTGAAGTCGGACGCTTAACCGACTGAGCCACCCAGGTGCCCCTAGGTTACCTTTTACTTTTTCTCTGTAGTATTTTATACTTTTCAAGTCGTACACATCTTTGTTAAATTTATACCTGGATATTTTACATTTTTTACGATATTGTAAGTGGTTTTCCTTTCTTCAGTTTCTAATTATTTATTGCTAG